AAGAGAAATCATATTAGAGAGATTCCGTGTTATTCGATGTTAAAACGTGATCATAGAACATTACGATGTAATCGTATTCAATGATACGGTTGTAATTAATGGCTGAGAAAAAATTTAGATATACACACGAAACATTCGTGTGTTGAACTCACGTACAATACACACGCAATCTTTATTGACGTCAAGATTCGCAATTAAACGAGAAAGAAAAAAATGCAAAATGAAAAAAGAGAAAGAAAAGAATAATAATAATAAAATGTACAAAGCGAACTATAATTTTATACGGAAATCGGGATGGTAATGATTTTACTTGAGATCCGTGAAACACGTTTAAAAAATTTCGTGCGTGACACTGATACACACTACTTTTAGATCGAAACGACGTTATTGTTGTATAAAATTATTCTCTGATGACCTCTTAACTCTCTTCAAAGTGACAAATAATCCTGATCCTTCATTGCTTTTACGTACCCAGTTTGATAACAGTATTTTTCTAGGCGAGAACTGTTTGTATTCACGCAATACACGTACATATACACATACACATACAAATGCACGAATTCGTGAAAATCGATTTCGAGGGGAAAAAAAAGTACATCCACGCGTTTTGCTTTAATAGAAAATATATTCGTTATAATTGACTAATCTTCTGTTCTTTTTTTGTTTTCATTTGAAACAAAATATTTTTTTTTAACTTTTTTTTTTTCTTTTAATTTGAAGAATGTGTACAATTCGAGACAATTGAGCGTTAAAATCCACTTCGTATGTGAATGTTTAATTTGCTCTCGGAGGAAGCGGTTTCGAGCTAAAAATGTCATTAATCCTTTGATAAAAGGGAGATGTATAAAACGTTTTCAACTGGCCGTCCTACATAGAATATGGCGAATGTTAAATATATTATTTGAAAGCTACCCTACGTATTGCCATAACATATTGATGCGTGTAAATTGTAAACAAATGATCCAACGTACTAACGTTAAAGGTGTAACGAAATGTAACACGCAATAATTTTTGTAGACCTTATGTTAATAAAACCGATGTTAATAAATTCTTCCATATATATTTGATTCGAATATGCAAAATAATTTGAAAAGGGATGGTAAATTGAAGTGGTAAATCTCGTTAAAGGAATATAACAAACTTGTATTTACAATGAATTACAATATTTGCGTGTTAATTTTATCTAAATGTAATAGACAAGTTAAGAATGAGCAATGGTAAATGACCTTTATTTGATGTCTCATACGACCCTCTTATGTTGGCATTCGCTGTATGAAGTTTTACTTTCTGCCAAGTGTCTCTATGTAATGTATCATTTTAAATGCAGTCAAGTATCTTATCATACATGTAACATAGAGTAAGAAGTATATCATGCCATACAAGTGACAATGGTAAACGTTTCTAAACAAGAAATCATATAGTGATAACTACCATATTCATTCACACAAGGATACTCTCATATAACTGTGTACATGACATTCATTTCATATTCTGACACGTTGCTACTGAAATACAAGCATTTAAAGTTTCCTTCTGCTTTCTGATTTATAATGTTAATTTTAAAGTAATCTATCATAATTAATTCTACATAGAATAAATGTTATCTATTTTATCGTTATTTTTAGGTAACAATTACATGTAAATAGTGTGACAAACAATTAAATTGAATGACAATGGTCTTAGACTTTTTTCATCGGATTTCTTGAACAGATACATATAATTTCGTTATCTGTTGCGCAGAGGAGAACAACCAATTTCTTACAATAGGGCACAGCATAAATATGTTGCAGCGTGGCTGGATATTTCTATGCAGTAAAGTAATTTCTACGATATAAACATGGTGTGTACTGTGAAGAACCGTCTTGTAATTGTTGATAATTTTTAATGAGAGTGGATGATAAGGTATATCCACATACTGTGCCGTCTTGTAACGAACTTGTCGATATATATCAAATTTTTGAAAACTTATTGTTAAGCTTGCGTTACACACCTCATTTGTAAATATTAGATCATATTTTTGTCTGTAGCATAATGAGGATTTTAACTGCAATTTATTTAGTTCATAGTATAAGATAATAAAGCTGGAAAATATAATGGGACAAAAAAGGCGTTATCATTCATCTAATATTTAATTGATAATATACCTAAAATGATATAAAATTTTCTATATATTTATTTTTTGTTGTTATTTTTTAGGTATTAACAAACAAAAAATCAATTTGGAGTAAACAAAATACATGAAAAGTAGAGATTATATGTTATAAAGAATAAAATAAAAGATTACATAGAAAAACTACTTATACCTTTAATTATTTCTATATATTATTAGTACATATTCCATTTTTAGCGAATGATATATAAAGTGTACCAAAAATAAGTAATAATATTTTGCATAATTTCTGAACTCAGATTTCTTATTTATTTAAATTAATTTCAAAATTAAATAAACAAATTTAGTAAACATATTGTTTTTGTTGCTGCGTATTAATACTACATTATTAAGTGTATTAATAAATATGTTTCAGAATTACTTTTCTGCATTGAAAATAGTATGAAATATCAGCCAATCAGATGTTACTTGCGCAAATATGCTCATTTTGCAAACACTAACACATGTATGTTATATCTACGGAAGCGTATATCGAACCTTACGATTGGACAAATGTGCGCATGAACTTCGTATATCTCGTGCAATTTGCTGTGTTTCGCTGAGGATTCATTTCATACCTAAAAAAAGGCTGATTTATACAAAATATTTTAAATAATAAAACCATTTTTAAGAATTTACTTCACATTATTCACTGAAATTCACATAAGTTATATATTATTATTGGTAAGTATTCGAATTAGAGAATTTCTTATAATTACTCATTGCCGATATTTCAAATGTTCTAATTCACTATCTAGTTTATATCTGAAAAGATAGGAATATGTTACCAGATAAAGATATATTTCAAAAAAATAAAGTTTTTTTTTGTACCAATTGATATATTTCACACAAATGTGTTAATATAAATTTAGTTTACTCATTTGCTGCAATTTTCATTCATATTCATGCTGCATTTATTATAACTTGGTTATTATTGTTATTTGTAGATAGAAAAATGTCTGTTACTTTAGAACCACAGCATATTGAAGTGCTGAAAACATTTGTTGATTTGTGCATAAAAACTCCTACAATATTACAGCAGCCAGAGCTTTCTTTTATAAGAGAGTTCATTGAACGCTTTGGAGGAAAATTATCAAAAGCCAAGACTGATGAATCACCATGCAAAAAGCCAAAAAGTGCAAATGTACTCAAAGAATCAAAACCAGAACCAAAACCACATCAAAAACCAATACAGAAAACAGAATCAAAAGAAGAAGTAGAAGCAGAAACAGAATCAGAGGCTGTAGCAGAAAGTGAAGAAACTAATTTAAGAGTGAATATAAATGAAGTAATTGGTGAATATAATTTTCTTTTTTGTATTTAAAAAGTAATTTTATATAAAATTTTAGTTTTTCTAAATGATTAATTTTCTTGCATATCTTTAGCAATATTAAAATTAAAACAAGCAGTATTTGATATCTTTTGTTAACATTAAGTTTTATTAAATGTTTTTGAACCAGGGACAAATGCTCTCCAAAAAATGGGAAATCTTACTTTACAACCAACAGAAGAAGAAATTGCAGAATCTGAAGCAAAATGTTCTGAAGCTGCATCAGCATTTGCAGAGGAAGATATTGAGAAAGCTATAGAACTTTATACTGAAGCTATTGTATTAAATCCACAGGCTGCCTTACTTTATGCTAAACGTGGTCAAATGTATTTAATATCGTATATGCCTAATGCTTGCATTCGCGATTGTGATCGTGCCTTGGCACTTGACCCGATGTGCAAGTCTGGCCACAAGTTTAAAGCACAGGCCCTGTTGATGCACGAAAAAATCGAGGAAGCAATTCCTCACATCAAAATTGCTTATGATCATGATGATTTAGACTTAGATGATAGGAAAGACGAATACATACCACCGGCATATTTACATAACACCTACTTTTTCCCTTCTTCCTAAGACGATTCTGCAGATTCTTATGAGATGCCATGGATCGACAGAACGATTAATCGAGAATAATTTATCTCTTACTAAAATAGATTAATTAACTTTTCCCTCGTACAACACAAATTTTCTATCCCTTCATACAGTTGCTCTAACATTTCCGATTTTGTCAGACTCTGAAGATTTATTGATACTCCAATCGTGACCATTCCTTTAATTACATAAGGAGTATAAACAATAGGAAATGTTAATATAAGAAATATTTGTATTTTGCACGAGTTTGCGAAGATTTCACGGCTGGCATGATTTTTTGCCGATTCTTCGGCTACCAGGAATTTTCATCGAAAATTCTCACTATGCTAAACACGCGGTGTAAAAAGAAGACGCGTAATATTAGTTAACTCAACACGGAGCTTATTAAGGGCGTTTAACGCCATGCGACCAGCAAAAATATCTGACCCAAGGGACGCAAGATCTTATCAAAGTCGTACACATCGTTGGATTGGGCGGGTGCTCGGGCAGTGACATGTGTTTAGAGATAATAACCATGCTAGATCGAGGCTTAAGTAGCTCGAGAAAAATGGCCAGTATTCATTAAGTACACCAAACAATCGAAAATTCCATAAATTATGAATGTTTTGAATGTTGGATGAAATGAGATTACACCCAGTAGAATAAGATTTCTAGGATGTTTAATTATTTATGTAGGTAGGAAGTAATAGGAAGTGTTACTGAATGTTGAAAAATTGCTTTTTAAAATCTGACTAGCAATTTTTTTTTTATTTTACATAAGTGCATAGTTTTACAATTTTCACAATTTAAGGGTGTTAATTTAGTAGACTGTGTATTTTTATATTGTGGAAAGATATGTTTTACAGTAAATTCTGATAGAAACAACGCGGAAAGAGTAATGATGTGCTAACCATAATAGTACAACGAAAAATTCTACCTTTAACATTTAAGAAGTACACAGAATGCTACTAGCTGAAGTATTGAAGGTGCTGTACAACAGGACTGTGAAGACAATTAATCAGCTATGCTACCTTGGAAATTTTAAGAAACGTTAACGTTTTGAATACATTCCAAAGTATGTTGCTTTAATGTCTGACCAGTGAAAAATAAGGGCTTAGTTACCAAACACCAATTGTGTTGGTAACAAAAATTTACACGTTGAAGGTCTTTGGATTTTTTGTTCCAACGAAAATGAGGCATTAACAAAAGACAAGAATCAATCATGAACAAATCTTACAAAACGGTGGATGATGAGAAAGTCGAACAAAAGATAATCAGCATAAACTGAATAGAATATTTTTATTAATGCTAAAAAAACAAATTATATTAGGGTAGGAACAGAATTCACGTATGAGGCACAAATTTTGTTGTCGCTGTAGATGTGCTATGTCAGACTTTCTGTGACAGTGTAAGTAATTTCCATGCATTTCTTTTTATTTCATCAACAAAGTCTTATAGCTCTCTTGTCATCGCCGCTTTGAACTAGTCAATATATATTAAATTTTTGTAAATGTATTGGTACGCTTGCGCTACACCCTCATTTGTAAATATTAGATCATATTTTTGGCTGTAGCATAATGAGGATTTTAACTGTAATTTATTTAGTTCGTAGTATAAGATAATAAAGCTGGAAAATATAACGAGACAAAAAAGGTGTTTTCATTCATCTAATATTTAATCGATAATATATTTACAAAATACATGAAAAGTAGAGATTATATGTTATAAAGAATAAAATAAAAGATTACATAGAAAAACTACTTATACCTTTAATTATTTCTATATATTATTAGTACATATTCCATTTTTAGCGAATGATATATAAAGTGTACCAAAAATAAGTAATAATATTTTGCATAATTTCTGAACTCAGATTTCTTATTTATTTAAATTAATTTCAAAATTAAATAAACAAATTTAGTAAACATATTGTTTTTGTTGCTGCGTCTTAACACTACATTATTAATTGTATTAATAAATATGTTTCAGAATTACTTTTCTGCATTGAAAATAGTATGAAATATCAGCCAATCAGATGTTACTTGCGCAAATATGCTCATTTTGCAAACACTAACACATGTATATTATGTCTAGGGAATCGTGTATCGATCCTTACGATTGGACAAATGTGCGCATCTACTTCGTATATCTCGTGCAATTTTCTGTGCTTCACTGAGGATTCATTTCATACTTGAAAAAGTCTGATAATACAAAATATTTTAAATAATAAAACCATTTTTAAGAATTTACTTCACATTATTCACTGAAATTCACATAAGTTATATATTATTATTGGTAAGTATTCGAATTAGAGAATTTATTATAATTACTCATTGCCGATATTCTAAATGTCCTAATTCGCTATCTAGTTTATATCTGAAAGGACAGGAATATGTCACAAGATAAAGATATATTCCAAAAAAATAAAGTTTTTTGTATTAATTGATATATTTCACGCAAATGTGTTAATATAAGTTTAGTTTATACATTTGCTGCAATTTTCATTCGTATTCATGCGGCATTTTTTTATAACTTGACTGTTATTGTTATTTATAGGTAGCAAAATGTCTGTTCCGTTAGAACCACAGCATATTGAAGTGCTGAAAACATTTGTTGATTTGTGCATAAAAACTCCTGCAATATTACATCAGCCAGAGTTTTCTTTTGTAAAAGAGTTCATTGAACACTTTGGAGGAAATATACCAAAAGCCAAGATTGATGAATCACCAAGCAAAGAGCCAAAAGATGCAAATGTACCCAAAGAATCAAAACCAGAACCGAAACCAATACCGAAAGAAGAACCGAAAGAAGAAGCAAAAGCAGAACCAGAACCAGAGGCTGGAGCAGAAAGTGAAGAAAGTGATTTGGAATTGGATATGACTGGAGTAATTGGTAAATATAATTTTCTTTCTTATATTTGGAAATAATTTTATTTATAATCTTATTCTTTAATATTAAAATTAAATTAGAAGAAGTATTTGATATCTTTTATTAACATTAAGTTTTATTAAATGTTTCAGAACCAGATACAGATGCTCCCCAAAAAATGGGAAATCTTACTTTACAACCAACAGAAGAAGAAATTGCAGAATCTCAAGCAAAACGTTCTGAAGCTGTATCAGCATTTGCAGAGAAAGATTATGAGAAAGCTATAGAACTTTATACTGAAGCTATTGTACTAAATCCACAGGCTGCTTTACTTTATGCTAAACGTGGTCAAATTTATTTAATATTAAATAAGCCTAATGCTTGCATTCGCGATTGTGATCGCGCCTTGGAACTTAATCCGGATAGCGCTGCCGCTCACAAGTTTAGAGGACGGGCCTATCACTTGCTTGGAAAATTCGAGGAAGCAGTTACTGACTTAAGACTTGCTTGCAAATTTGACTTTGATGAACAAGCTGATGAATGGCTACGGGAAGTTACTCCAAATGTAAGTACCTTTAAATGTTATATTATTCTTTATCATTTAATTTGTTGGTTCAACATTAGAATTACAATAAATAAAAATTTTTTACACATCAATATTTCGTGTGTGCAACCTGCAAATACTTGAATAATAGTATTTATTAATGGATTATCTGAATCTTATTTATTATTTGATGTAAATAATTTGTATTTGGGATTGAGATGTCACATTTACAGAAATGACAATTATCTTATATATTCCTATTTGAAAAATACATAAATTAAGTCTATTAAAGTTAAGTACTTAAATTAAGTAAAATAATAATAACTGCAATAATAACAATACCAGCAATTTGCATATTTTCAAGAAATCAATCACACATGTGAACATTAATAACACAATGCAAACTGATAAGTGTTTTATACGAGGCATTTAATTTACACAAGGTACATCAAAAATCAAATTTTTTACTAAAACAAACGATATATTCATTTACATTGAAAATATAGTTTATGTATCAACATGGGAAGTTATCATGATCATTCTTATCTCTTTCTTAATGGAAATATTTTTATATATTTTATTTTACATACTTATAATATGTAAGTAACTGCTTTCGTCATATGCTGTTCTGACGGCTGAAGTGTCACAGTATTGTGCAATAATTTGCACAACCATTACACTAAGTTTGAAAAAAGTCTATCGCCCGAGTTCACTGTATTTTCAACCTTTTTATCGATGTATTAGACAATAGGACCCACCATTGTTGTGATATGTTTTCCAAAACTCTGTAATCAAAGCTGTATTTGAACACATTCAAGGGAAAATCACTATTCTTTTTTTTGTTTTTTTTTTTTTTTTTAGATCGGAATGGTAACACTCGTACTGTCTTCCCAACACAAGTATCTTGAAATCTTCGATTCATTCCAATTCACAAGTACACTTAATCCTACGTTAAGCGTACCATGACGAATGTATCGTTTCCTTCATAGTGTCACCAATATCCATGTTGTTTACCTATAAAACCAACAGTATATCTTCGTACTCCGAAACTGTCTCTTCTCATCTTTAAATGAACTGTTCAGTGTATCGCGCTATGTTGTGTTTCAGGAGAATTCTGTTCAAGGCTTCACATTCTTCTCTTTGTCTAAAATCCTGTTGGATTTTTTTTGGGTTTTTTATTCTTTTTCTCTTTTACCTAAAGGCGGGTGATCCAACCCTACTTCTTTTAATTTTCTCGCTGTTTCAGGAAAGAAAGGTCTCTGTACTGTTTCAAGTAAATGAACTTACACTAATGTTTGTTTCCTTTCACTCATTCGCTTTTTGTTTTGTACAATTTGCTCTCACCTCATACCTCATACGGGTATATCAAGAGCTCTGCTTCAGAATGTTGGATTGTACTCAACTAGGAGGACTTGTCTCAGACTCGTGTATGACTTGCTCTACGGATTTCTTGTATTTGCCTACGAGCTCTGGTAAATCGTAGGCAATGGCGACGTCGAGTCTGTTGATCGGGCATCCACGGAAGTACGTGCACGTGGAGCTTAGTAGAGGGAAGTCGTAGAGAACGTTCAATCGGAAGAAGTCTCGGTAGACGTCCGGATCTGGCAAGTCATAGCGTGATATATTCTTCAGTGTACTTAAGCCCTCGTAGATATGGTAATCTTGAGGATTCTCGATGATCTTGTCACTGATATCCTTCTTGTTTGCAAAGAATGTCTTGTGATTATAGTATGTGGTTAGATAGCAGTCTACCATTTTAGCATGATTGCGCACTCGCACCTGCAATACAACGGGGAAAAGAACTTGCAATATGTCTAAGGACGATAAATTAACGAATATTAATTGTCACAATTGTGTCGAAATTATGCATAATAACGTACAGCGAATCTCCTGGCGCTGGCTATCTTATGCTCGACTCGTTTGTCAATGGCAGTACGCAAGTCGCGTAGGAATGCACGTTCCTGAGCATACAGTAATCTAGTGGGTGCACCAGCCTCGTACGGTAACGACCACAATGATGTGGAGTACATTATTGGTGGCTCAGCGCTGGACATCAGCGGTGATATATTCCATATTAGAGCGCCTTGCACTCTCATTAATTCCTCCGGTTTCACTTGATCAGCTTTGTTAAGAATGATGCGTGTCTGTTTCGAGAGTTCACGTTACATTATGTTAACAAAAGTGTGCAACATATTATCTAAATCTTTACCTGATGCTCCCTTCCCTTCAATTGATCAAGGATCGCCTCTGTTTCTGGCCCGACGTCCAATTTCGACGGATCGTACACTAAAAATATTATGTCCGCACGGTCGATGAACCATTGACACGCATCGTTAAACGGGAACAAACGTTGGACTTGTTTTCGAATTTCTAAGATTCCTGGTATCTCGACGATATTGACCTAGCGATGTGAAAATTGTTCGTTCAGTTGATAAGAATAGAATTGATAGAAAGTGTAGCGAGTAATAGTTGATTATTATTCGAATTAACGAGGATACACACTTTTTCTAGTAACTTATTGTCGAGTCGTAAACCCTTGAGACGATCGAGCAATCCTTGGCCGAATTTTTGCAATCCGGAGAAAGTCCAGTCAGCGGCGAGCTGCGTGCCATCGAGGATTTCCTCTTCCTCTCCGTGCATTATGATATTGAAGTAGGCCGGAGATGGCTCGGCTCCTGTGTCATTTCCATTTGGCGTTTTGCATTGCTCCTCTAAGCACTCTCTCAAACCACCTAAACACTATCTGTATATTCATGCTCCTAGCATGCTTCTACCGCTAAATCTTTAGAGCATATTTTTTTTTTTTTGTACTATTCGAAGGCGTGATCACGGCCGACTTAGTTAAGCATCAATGTGAAGTAAGTCCTGAAGCATCCTCGCACAACAAATTCTCACTACTTTCTTCGTTTCTCGCTACTTACGCACCTGTCCTTAACGACGTCTGCCTGTACTCGATATCGAGCAAGTAGTTTATGATGGAAGATTTCCCACCGCTCCACGGACCCATGAAAAGAACTAATGGCTTGGAGAATATTTCTGGATCTGTAAAAATAGAAACTCTTTTTAAAGTATAATTTATAAAGATAATTACCATATTTTATAAACACTGTACTTACCACCAAAGTGTCTGTTACTCAAGTCTCTGTACTTATACAGAGATTCCAACGGTTGGATCGCGCTATCGTATACCCTCTTCAGTTCTTTCAGCACAATATCTGCGGCATTCTGGATGGAACGTTCCTTCTCTTCGTTCTCCTCATCGAGCTTCAATAATTGATTAATATGCTCACGTGGTCGCAAGTTCTCCGGTACTACTATCTCCTGAATCAAATCTTCCTCAGGCGTAGGTTCTTCCTCCTCGCTCTGACCTGGTTCCTCAGAGTCTTCACCATCCTTGTCACCTTCAACTTCTCGTCTAGCACGAGATTTCAGTTTCTCGGCTTCCTCTTCTACAGACTTTCCTTCTTCTTCTTCTTCCGCAGATTTACCTTCCTCACCACCTTCTTTCTCTTCCTCAGTCTCTTTTTCACCAGATTTTTCCGCTTCCTCTTCTTCCGCCGATTTAGCCGCCTCTTCCTCTGACTTACCTTCCTTAGCTTCTTCACTTTCTTTCGCTTCTTCCTCTACTTGACCCTCTGCACTCTCGCCCTGACCTTCGGTGCTCTCCTCCTTCGCCTCCTCAGCGCTCGCTTGTTTCTCTTGCGATTCACCTTCCTCCTCTGCTTTCTCACCTCCTTCCGCGTCCTCTTCCTCCGTCTTCGAATCGGTCGCCTCGTCTTCAGCCTTCTCTTCGTCAGACTTCACCTCCTCGGTCTTGGCTTCTTCGTCGGATTTTTTCTCGTCGAGTTTCGCTTCTTCAGCCGATTCTCCCTCGGCCTGCGCTTCGTCGGATTTTCCAGCATCCGCCTGATCTTCTTCTTCTCCAGACTTTTCAGCTTCCGCTCGAGCTTCCTCTTCAGACTTTTCAGCATCCGCTTGTGCGCCCTCCTCCGATTTTCCTTCGTCTACCTGTCCTTCCTCCTCTCCAGATTTTTCATCCTTCTCCTCCTCGGTTCCCTCGTCTTGACCCGAGTCTGCGGCTCCTTCTGCTGCCTGTTCACCAGACTCTCCTTTCTCTTCCTCCGTTCCTTCGTCTGCTTCTCCAGACTTCTCTTCTGGCTGCTCAGTTTCATCTAGGGAAGAAAGGACACTTCGATTACCGTGGTTGCACAGTGATTTTTGTATAGTTTATGAAAGCGTTACAGTGAGATTATAAAATCGGTCAGGCGTCGAAGATTAGGATCTCTAGCCTCGTTTAGGACTGTTCAATATTCAATTGCTTCTTCCATTGTAGTATATACGTTTATAAAATTTACGACCTCGCTATGTCACTTCCACCAGCTATACATTGGTCAAGTGACAAATCTTCAATTCTTGGCAATTCTGAAACCCTCCATTTCTTCTTTTATAAATATTTAAACGAATTGTTGACGAAACGAAGAGATTGTTAATAGTAAGAAGTCGACTGTGACGCAAGGACAATTACCTGACTTACAAATCAGTGCTTTGTCAGACACTGCTAAGAAGATTCGATTAGCGATCGAGGTGAACAATACGATTCCCTAATTTTTACCTCCTGCAGATTCACCCGCTTCAGCGCTCTCTTCTCCAGCAGCTTCGATACTTCGATCAGCCTCAGCGGATGCTTTGTCAGTCTCATCTTCAGCTTGTTCGGCGCTCTCTGCACCTTCAGCTTCTACCGACTCTTGTTTATCCTCGTCTGTTGCCAAATCTTCTTTCGAAACATCGGTTGCTGGCTCACCATCCTAGAACGAAATATCAAAAGTTACTTCTTTGATCATGTTTCCCAGTGAATTGAACGGTAGACATTAGTATACAGGGTGTACCATAATATGCGAGCATAACTTCAATACTGGAGTCAGCGTAGAAAAATAATAAAAAAGGAGAAATTCATAATCAAAGTTTCTCTTCTTTCCAAATTACAGCTGTTCTTGCGTGGTTGTACCAATTGTTCAACTCTGTCTTCGTAGAAATTGTTCGAACGCAAGCCTCTAAACCACCTTATCATTGACCTTCTCACGACGACCTTGTTGTTCGTGAAATATCAAACGTTGTTTGTAAACACTTGAAGAAGTTTGTCGGAAGACTGAGAAAATTTTGGATTATTTTTCTTTTCTTCGCTGAATCTATCACTGAAGTTACATCTCGACATATTGCAATACACGTCGATTTCTTACTTCTTCACTCGCAGGTCTCCCATCATCTTCTTGACTCTCTTTATCGGCGTCGGTCCCAGCCTCGGCACTGGTCTGCTCCAAAGATCCTTCAAACGAAACATTCTAGAAATCGCTGTGCTCCAGTTGAATGTTCCTCATCATCTTAACATTACCTGTACCGAGATCCTTCAACGCTTTCTCAATGTACGGTCGACATAGATCCTCTGGCGGCACTTCTAGCTCTTCTTCGCTTTGCACTCCTGAAACACGATTTCAATCGAACCTTGACATTTTCTGGCACGCATAACAACCAGTCTCTTGGATATTAGTATCTACTCGAGAGAAAGAGAGAGAGAGAGAAATCGTCTATTTTCAGAGATAGATATAATGCAATTAGCGAGATATTCACCTAGAAAGCGAGAAGATAGACAGCAATTTTTCTTCAGTCTGAGGGATCAAATATTCATTCGGTTGTTAATTACCTAGATTACAAGTAGATTTGAAGATTAAACGATCGAACGATCAATAGAAGCTCGTTTTACAAAATTTCATTAACAAATCTTTCAACACACACACGCACTATCCGACACTCATTCATCGATACACTCCCCCGATCATGGTGATTCACGAATTACACAAGGTGTACGAATAATATGAAACGTTGATACAAGAAGAAGTATTTGTATTTTGCACGAGTTTTCGAAGATTTCACGGCTGGCTTGATTCTCTATGCCGATTCTCCGGCTGCCAGGAATTTTCATCGAGGAGTTCTCGCTATGCTGAACACGCGGTGCCAAAAGAAGGCGCGGAGTATATTAGATAACCCAGCAACGGAGCTTAGCAAGAGGGTTTAACGCCACGCGACCACCAAAAATATCTGACCCAAGTGACGCAAGATCTTGTCATAGTCGTTACACACCGTTGGATCAAGCGCGTGCTCGGACAATGACAGGTGTTCGGGGACAACAACCATGCTCGATCGAGATTTCAAGCAGCTCGTGAAATAATCGCCGGTGTTCCTTCAAGTAATCTCCGTAAACGTGTGAACGTTCTAAACGACGGAAGAAATGAAATCACGTCCAATGGAACAAGATTTCCAGGATACTTCACTGTTTACACGTAGCTAAGAAGTTATAGAAAAGGGTTAACCGAAAAAATAGGAAACCGACACGGGAGAATAAAGAGGGAGTGGTTGGCGTAGCGCGCAAAGCCTCGGCTTGCTAAGCCGAAGGTCCCGGGTTCGATTCCCGTTGGGTCCTTCAAAATTTTTCCGTCGATTTCTACAATTATATTATATCAGAAACCTTGCAAACATTAACCCCTTATCTTGCAAACTTTGAATATTCAGTAGAAGTGAAAATATTATGTAGTATTGGGGCTTCCATACTCAAATAAGAAACTTCTAAGGGAGAATAGAGAGGGAGTGGTTGGCGTAGCGCGCAAAGTCTCGGCTTGCTAAGCCGAAGGTCCCGGGTTCGATTCCCGTTTGGGTCCCTCAATATTTTTCCCTCGTTGGTTCCTACATTAACAAGTGCAGTTTTACAACTTTCACAATTTCAGTAGACTGTGTATTTCTACATTGTGGAAGGATGTGTGTGAGAGTAAACTCTGATAGAAAGAACGCGGAAAGAGTAACAACGTGCTAATCGAAATGGTACAACGAAAAATGACGCGTTTGGATGCTAAATCAGTACTTCCTGTGTCTCAACGTTCAACAAGTACAGAGAGAATGCTACTGGCCGAAGTTGTGAAGACGCTGCGAAAGAGGAGTATCGAGGCGATTAATCAGCGACGCTACCTTGGACATTTGAAGAAAAACGCTCTAACGCCTTGAATATATTCCAAAATACGATGTTTCAACGTCTGACCGCGGTTCGATGAAAAATAGAGGATCGGTTACCGTGCACCGACTCTCTGAGAAACTACAATAAGAAGCCTGTCGAGACACGTATATCTAAAACCAACGATTAAATAGAAGAAGAAGAAACGACAGACTTATATACACGGACAGAATTTTCTCCGACTTTTGGGTACAATGAAAATTTGATTTTTAACCCCTTAACGTATGATTTCTTTTCTGACTGTGCATCTAAGCGTCAGCCATTTTCTGTTTCAGTACTGTATCAGGCAACAAAAGCTAATCTGTTACAGATTAATTACATTTAGGAATCCTTGATCTTACAATTTAAAACGAAAGTTAGGATTAAAATTAATTTTTCTCACATCTTCACCAGAATCTCTGCCGCGAGTCTGACACGTTGTTGTAAGTCAAAAGGTTGAAAAGGAACGAAAACAGATCTATCGTCGAGATAACTTCCATTATTGTCGACGACACCTTTTGCCACTTTGATAAACCATCGCGAGAGAAACTCGGCGGCTTCGAACCAATCGTGTCGATCAAATTCGAAAAAATTCATTTCTACACCTGACACTTTGTTTTTTATCGTTTGCTACTTAAAAAGAGTGCCGTTCGTTGTTTCGCGAAACTCCAACTCGGCGGTTTCCAGCGATTCTTCGCACACGTTGGTCCGTAAAATCGTATTTTTTCCGTGGTAAAAAGTGGTAGCATTCATCTCGAACGGTAAAATCTCTGTCGATGAGAGTGTCGATATCATCTTTCTAGGCAGTACCTGGGGACCAGGAGGCCGGTTTCTAAGTTTAGCGGCGAGTAGGCGGCTTTGAGCCGAGCAACACTTGAAAATATTTATATATTCGATGAGCGATACGTATTTTTATCGGTTATTCGCCGCGCGGAAAAAGTCCAAACACTTTTTTATCGTGTTTTCCCTCTCGACGCTAACGCGAAAGAGATTACAGAGATTAACGGTGAATTTACGAGGCATGTACGTGTATCGAACGAGAAGCGCACAATCGAAATTGAACGGAGGAAGATGCAAGGATTCCGCGGTTGGGCAGATGTGATTGGGTAATTGAAACGATCGAAACTGAGGGATTTATAGACGTTGGAAAGAATTTAAACGGCATCGGGTTTCGGGTTGCGTTCATTTGATCGATGATACAATTTACAAAGTGAAATTTCAATTTCACTGTACAGTCATAGGTGAGAGGAGAATACGTAGCGTGTATTGCCTGTAAATTTTCATCGTTACATCACACGTGCCCGCTACTTTTGGCACGAGATCTTATTATTTTGCATGCTTCAACCTTTTGTCTTCCCTCGAGATCAAAGGAGTGCACTTTAAGCAAAATTATATCAGTCTGTGTATTATAATTTATTATATTTTAAGTAGGATTTTTGCAATTCTTTTACCCTTCTTTCTTTTTATCGCGCGTGTGTGTGTTTTAAAGTGAATTTTCAAGTGTTACATCGAATTGGGATTTATCGTTTCCACTGTGTTAAGGAGATACTACGAGAGGAGAGAAAGTCAGCGAATTGTAAAGGAAGAATATTTGCGATCGTCGTTTGTTCTCCTTTATTAGATAATCGAAATTCAAGCGACGTAAGATTTATATTTTTCGACTTCGCTTTGGGAAATATTAATTTTAGACACTAGCGATCTGTAAGATAATATGTTGAAATTATGTATGTTGCAAAATAATCCTCGAAAATGTCAAGATACGGGTAATGGAAGTAGAGGTAAGCAGCTGTCGTTTGGCAAGCATAGCCACCAAGGATAAAGATAGAATCTGAAGTCTTGTTCCGCGCTCTGCGGCATGTATAGTCTTTAATCTTTTTGCTATAAAAGTTAGATCCACTTGAAAAACGCCTTCGTTAACTCCCTCTTAACAATTCCGAGCATTTTCACGCGTTGTATTTCTCTTTCGAAGGAGAAAACTAAAAGGGAAAAAAAAAAAGGAAGAAGAAATTTCATAAATAAATCACTTCGCTCTCTACGCTTAGAAATTGAAACAAATAAATAATCATCGGTGTGATAATATTCGTAATTGTGAAATAATTACCGCGCCAATGTTTGAATTCTTTTTTTTGTAAATTACTTCATTTCAGAAAATTGGTCGCGTTTTGAATTCCCAATTATTCACAAATATTCAGCACAGATTTTCACTATCCTCTGTTTATTTTACATCCCTATAAAAGAACGTATTAACGTCTCGTCGAGCACCGCTTGAAAACGGAATTCACGATCAGGCTTATAGAATTTAGAGCGAATCTGGCACGGATTTATGCCTGTCCTTATGTAATTATTTGCAAGTTGTTGACAGTCGGTTTCCATCGATTCCCAAAATAACAAATCCTTGAATCCACGATCAAAACCTTTTACTCGATCGCCGTCCCATTTCGCTTCGTTAATCCGACGAAAATATCGTTTTCCATTCCTTCACTGCTCCGCTTCTACTATCTATTACTATGAAAAAAAAAAAAAAAAAGAAGAAGTTCAACAACCATCCTACAAGTTACACCGAATCGCAATCTTCTGCTGAATCAAACTCGAGATGAAAATCGAGAAAAAAGTCCGCCAAGTATTTCCCAATAATTTACGATATAATAATAATACACAGAAGAAGAAAAATCCGAAGAAATCGAACGAAATTTGAATAAAATGCAAAATTTCACAATCGAGAGTTTAAAATATGCGTCGAATATTTCCAACGATTATTCGTCGTCGCGTATTGTTTGATACAGCGAAAAAAAAAAAAGAAAAATTTAATTAAATGCCTCGGTCGAGAACTGAACGAGAAAGAAAGGATGTTGTCCATAGTGCTGCCAACTTCCGGTTAGAAACGACACACGATGTCGTGTGGAAACGGATGAAATATCCTCCTCTCGTTTAATGGTATCGACCCGACAAACATGTATGACGTAACAGATCGCCAGAGGTTCATCGGTTCGATCGAGGAGCGTTCTCTCGATGCTGAAGAGCCAGCCGACGAGCCAGGAACCGATGACGCAGGCCACAGTGACTTTACGTAACATTGACCTTCGTCAATCGTCACGCATTCGTCAGCACGTCATCCACATCATCGACCTTAAGCTAAAAGTTCTAGAAACTTGGATCGTACTTTCGAGAATACCTATTGAGAATCTTCTCTAAAATTCTTCAAGATCCACACGTTGGACCGAGTGGTAGAATATATGTGGAAAAATTTATATATATATGTATGTATGTATGTATGTACGTATGTATGTATGTATGTACGTATGTATATGCGTATGTTGAAGTGTAGAGATTCACAATGTTCACCTTCACTGAACGATAGTCAACGTGAATCATAACGTGCACACGCGAGGCGTTGCTCTTGATTTATATAATTAACGCGAATAAACGTCGTCGTCGGTGCGACGAGCAGGTGTATTCTAAAAAAGCGTCGCGTGACGGCGCGTTAAAAATAACGCGAAAACAAATGATGATGCTGGTAAGCTCTTGTGAAGCGAGATTTGTTTGGTACACGCCTACGATTGCATTAGAGCAGAATCAACGATGAAAAATTATACGAAACACAGCCGACCGATGTATCAAGCGGGAAGGGATTCACCGAAGAAGTACATCTTGGCACGAAACGATCCAGTGTGAAGTTCCGAGAAACGGCACGGGAATAAGAAGAAAAACACAGGAAATTCTCTTGCAAATCAAAACCCTACACACCTTTATCCCATCGTAGCGAATACTATGCAAAATAAGATAACCTAAGAAGCCAGTAATACTCTCCTAACTTCCCGTAGGATCCTACCGAACGAACGCCTCTCGAAAGTCTGCGTACAAGGGAGAGATTGTAAAATTATAAAGGCACTCTTCTTCGCAATCCTGATGGAAGATTTTCAAGATAACAAATAGCAACCGTACAGAGAACTGTACGATCGTCTGATTAACACACAAACTCGAAAAAGGCACGAAACTCTGAATAACCGTATTAGCCACTTTTGTAGAAGAAGAAGAGACACGATGGAAGAAGAAAAGTGGAACGTCGACGGAGGAGCCATGCTCTCCTCTTCACAATCGAAGAAGAGTCGAAAGAGAAGAAGAAGGTACGGTGGTGCAAGGTCAGGTGCATGGGTCCCTGAGGAGGGAGAGAGAAGGGTCGGTCAGATGGGGTACTCACCCTGTAAGGCGACGACTAGAAGGACCAGGAAGAGGCCCACGAAGTACGCGGGTCTCAGCCGCGAGCCCGTCATGTCGTTTCACTAGGCACTACACGATGAGCCAGGGCTGGCAGCAGCTCGTCTCACTCGATAGTCGCCTTCGACTCCAACTCGCCCGCGAGGAACTGGCATTGTCACTACCGCCAAACCCCGAAGACGCCCCTCTACTTCTCACCCCAGCGGCCGCCGTACTACGCTCTAGCCACCGTTTTCTCCCTTTTTCCCGCCTGATCGCGGGGGATTCCGCCCGTGATTTCCCTCCTGCCCTAACTAACATCCACGACCAACCGGATGTGAACAACGAATCCTCATTTTCGTTCGCTCGAACAGCTTGAAATTACTAATCAAACCGTAAGGGAGGATCGGAGATATATGGCCGTTCGAGAGGTCTGATAAAAAGGAGATGAAGTGACCTTCAAAAGGTCGAAGGCTGTGTACGAAGGTGTTTTCAGCCTTGATAATTAGGCTTGTCTTTTATGGTGTACTCTATCATAAGGGTAGATTGTACAGGCTGATGCATAAGTCGTTTTACCATTTTACAAATTCTCAGCGTATACTTCTTACGAGCTAGAACAACGGAGCACTGGATTTTCAAAATTAAATTCTAACCATTTTTTCTTCTTCTTTGACGTTGCTGTGTTGGTGAATCTTTCCATGATTAATTTTCGAAGAACACATTTTCCAAATCTGAAACACAAATTTTTTTAACTGTATAATATGTAGAAAGAACAGTTTTACAATTTTGGAATGATAGAGTGACTTATGGACATTTGACCGTTTTACTTTTTTTCTTTTCTCAAAGAATTCTCTTTTCCTTTTTATCGTTTGAGATAAGTAAGCTGTGTCGTTGTTTTTCTCGTTAATTTCTTACTTTTTCAAAATCTGGAACAAAAAAGATACAATAGAAGAACAGTTGTACAATTTTGAAATGGTAGAAGTGACTTATGGACCACCCTGTATAAGGAACGATCCGTGACATTGATTAACGACGATCGCATAACTAGTAGGAGGAATTTTTTTTCCTGCTCGAAGAAAGAATCGTCCCTTTTTTTTTTTTCTTATAGTTTAAGTAAAAATGTCAGAGTATTTTGTCGAATTTTCGAGAAAAAAAAATTAAGTCTCAACTTCGAGACGATGTAGCTAGAGAAATAGAACGTTCTCAGCTCGCGAGCTTTCAAAGCCACGCGAGAAACGTGTCCGAGAAGTTACCACTCGAACAAGAGTATATGATACGATTTGGTGTTAACGGGTTATGTTGTTTTTATTTCGAACCAGTAATAGTCTGTTAAATCGACAATCTGTATATTCAGAGGTGCGCAACGGTGATCTGAGCGCAACCACCACTGAATCACCGAATCTTTATCTCGTACAATCCGAAGATACTTGCTGTAGAGTGGCAGTTTTAAAAATACCTCTTGGCGGCCCGGTTTTCTCGGGTTTGCAGGGTCTACCTGGCCGACAGACCGCTAAGACATTGACTAGCGATCGTGCGCTAAGATCCTGCACACGTTTCGACCTAGCTCCGCGCACGTCATCTTCAACCTCGTTTCCATCCTCGATCTCTACACCGTTTCGATTCCTGTAACATATGTTTCTTTCATCTTCTACTTTTTTTTTTTTTTTTTTTTTTTAAACATTTACGACGAAAATCTGTCATCGACAATTTTTCCGCGGCTATATTTTCTCTTCGACACACATACGCGCGATGTGTGTCACCCTTAAGAATTCTGACCGAAGCGAAAAGAATAAAACGACGGCTGGAAACAACTCGTGACGAACGAAGAGAGGTAGAATTTTATAAATAGTAATATGGGGAGGGAGATTCGTGTAGACGCGCGTTTTCTTGTTTTCCTGGTGAAAATTATTCGAGAAGATTTATCGGAGATTGTTGGTTAAGTTAGTTAACACCGGAGCCAATTATAAACGTCGCCAGTCGTAGAATTCCAAAAATACACGAGTGATACGGGGACAAGGTCGTCATGGAAACCGACGAAGACATTAGCGAGAGGAATTCGTATTTTTCTGTATCTTTCGTAGTAATTACTTTTTTCTTGTTTTTATAAAAATTGATAGTTTGAAGTAGGTTTTTTTTACATCGAAAAATTACTACGTTTGAATTGTAAAATTCAAGTAGGAATTGTCCAATTTTTGTTGAATTATGTAGAGGTCAAAGTAACTTGGCCGTTCAGTAATATTGAGTACTTTCGTGGGTACGCCAACGCATTACGCGAGTTTATATATTCAGTGAAAATAGCTTGTATATCAAATAAATATCTTCTTAAAATATATTCAGGAACGTAACGCTGATAATTTTGCGCAATGTGCACGCTGTATCAAACTGAACGATATATTCGAAATATTTGTATAACGTTAGCAAAGATTCGAGTATTACAATATTCCTCTAATTATTTCGAGCTGTGAGTACATTCGTGACGAAAGATTATATTCTAGAACTCTTATATAATTATCAATTACATCAATCACGTTTTCGAACGTTCTATGTAAAATTGAATTATACCAAATTTACATTTTTACGAATATTGCATTTTAAAATTTTCAAATATTAAATTTCACGTTGCAAATAAACATGTCAACCCCTTTTCGCCATCCAGAAATCTCGAGAATTTTCTACGTTTCAAATTCACCGGTTGCACTTGTGCATTTACAATCAATTTATCGACAAATTTCACAAACATTGTGTAAAATTCGACATTGACTTCTATGCTTCCGTTTGACAGCATCGAGACAAGTGATTCACAACTTGTTACGCTGTCCAAAAATTCAACGTCGTTATATTTCATAACCTATATCATCTCTTCTCGATGAATGTCTTACATTGTTAGAAGAATAATTCAGTTATACAGAATTATAGGAAACATTTTCATTTAGAGCAGTCGTATTATAGATCTCACGTTGTTACACGAAATTCCCCCCAAAAAAATTCTTGAAACTTTCCCCAATATCAAATATAATATTTCACTCAGTAACGAAACGTATTCTAACATATTACGAAGAAAGTTCCCATCTCCGTTCTCGAGCTGAAAAAACTCGTCAAGAGGGCGCAACGATACAGAGTGGTTTTTGTGTAACGTAATATTAGCGAAATTCCAGCCGTCTGTTATCGACGGTCTACGAGAGAGCGGTGGCTGTGGCTTGTCTGTAGCAAAGAGAAGAGATTCGCGGCGAAATGCGTGCGCGCTCCGACAGAGAGGAGCATTGGAACGACGGGCGCCTTTATATTTAGAAGCCCGGGTCGCCGCCGTATAAGGTGGTGCTTCCCTCGTGCAAAAGTTCTCGCGTTTGCTCGCTCTTTCCGCCGCTATCTTCCGTGCTTCCTTTTGTACTTTCTTCTTATCTATGCGCCTCTAGTTCGTTGCACCAGTATTTTACTTAGGATTCAGTTCGATTCATGCATATAAACATTTCTAGCGAGAAATTCGAACTGGACGATTTTTTTCATGTTCCATTGCCAGATTTTCAAAGAGTCTGCTGATGTTTATAAACTTTGTTTGATGGTTTTGCGAAGGTTATGTTTATATTGTAGAAGGTGAACATTGAGAATGGTTATAGCCAGATGGCTAAGTTGTGTTGTAATCTGTGAAAGTAGTATCTGAAGTGTTTAAGAATTTTTTTGTTCAATGTTGAACGTATATTTTCTGTATTATTGAATTTTTTGCGAATTTCTCTCGAATAAAGCAATCACGTTAAATTTCTTATTTTCAAATCTTTTCTCACTTTAATTTAAAAACAAGCAAAAGCACAGTTCGATGATTAAAATTCAAATATAGGATTCTTAAATGATATTTTTGTTGAGACATTTATAATTTTTAACAAATCCGTTAACGTTTGTTAACCTCTTGTACGTAGTTTTAATCATTTCTCGATGGCCATTAACTACGTACTATATAGACAGGTGAACTGTGGTAGACAAAAATTGACTTGAAAACGAAACGATGGAGTTAGAGGCAAATGAAGAGACGTACGAAACGTAAAAGAGTGTAGCGAGAACAGGAAAAGTATCGATTCTAGAAACGAAGTTTACTGGCCAAATTGGCTGGCTGGCCCCTGGTCTATAATAAGCTCGTAATCGTATGAGGTCACAATGTATCTTGGACAGACGTGTTTCACGTCATTATGATTTAAGATTTGGACAGGTTCCTGAATGTATATGAGCAGGTTATTCCTTTCACGGAAGACCGCAACAGACTGCCGCCTTTCTTCGTATTATTTTCGGTCTGAACAACGTGAAAGTATAAATATCGTTCTGAATATTTCGCAGCATAATTAGGTCGACAAAATTACAATGAAATTTTATGAATGTGTATTATCACATAATACAGAAGTTTTATTGATCTTCGATCGATTTCTAAATAACATGTATTATCATCTGTTGATATTTCGTAAAGTGGGAATGTTGGATCTTGACCAAAGTGACAAATGGAATTTACATTTCATTTCATTAAATATGTAAGTCAATTTAAAATTTTCTTGTACATTCGAATTCTATTCTTAACACGTTAAACGCCACGCCGGTCCCTAAGGACTGGCCGTAGACTTTCCGTTTACGTCCCGCCGGTCTCCAGGGACCGGCTGTAGACTTTTGGTTCATGCTACCACCGCCGCGCGCGTCGGTCCTTGCGTACTGATTGTGAGACTAAACATTTCGTTTAGACGACATCGGTTTTTGTTCAGTCAAAGCTCTCAGAACAGGAATATAACATTTTAACAAAAATGAATGTAGTCTTTTAAGGATTCGTTAGTCGTCTTTTGTTTATAGTTCGCCCATTGCGTATGGCCCACTTGACGGCCGAGTGTGGCGTGAACGGAACGGCAAGCAAAACAGGCTGGGCGTTTAACATGTTAAAGGATAATAAAAATATAATCGCTGTAAGATTTTTATAAATAATTTCTACGATGATTCACAATTCGTGCGACTGAAATATTCATGAGACGAAAATTTTCAAAATCTCATGCTTTCGTTTTTCAGGCTCGAAAGATCGAGGAGCACAACAGAAAGAAGGAGCGCAAAATACAGGAACAACTGGAGAAAGAGAGACAAGAGATGGCGAAGATAGCTCAGGAAGCCGCGAAAGCCTACAGAGAGAACACCCGCACCTCTCAAACTGATGCAAGCGGAAATGTACCTGGTCTTTCAAAATTCGTCAACGATCCAGGAGTTGCCGAAGTTTTCAAAGTACGTGTCCGTCGATTAACTTATATTCAACATCATTATTAACATGATTTTTAAAACCACACTTTATCGAGGCTAACAATTTTACTGTTAACATATAAATGGCCTCTAAAGTGACAACCTAACTTAACCTTGACAACAATGTTAATTTTCCTTTTTACAGGATCCAGAATTAGTAGAAGTCTTAAACGAAATTACCGAGAATCCGGAAAATCTTTTGAAGTATCAGAGTAACCCGAAGGTTATGTCGTGTATAGAGAAACTACTTAAGATATTTCTCAAAACCGGTGGCGTTCCTTATGCGGTGCGAAAAATGTCTAGTCCCGCGACTGCCCGTGCTGCTGCCTGCGCCGCCGCCTGCGCCGCCGCTGCTGCTGCTGCTGGTACTGAAGCTGCTAAAGGTAAAGCTAAAGCTGGAGCAGAAACTGGTGCTGAATCTAAAGCTGAAACTGATACTGATGCAAAGTCAACCACACCAGAAGCAAAACCAGAAGATGTTGGCCTCGACTAAAGCTGCTGCTCTTCTCCTTCAAGAAATTCCTTCTCGATTTATACTCGTTCGATTAACAAAAACTTCGGATACTTGATTATGAAACTGGTCACTGTACGAAACGACGCACGGTGTCTTATTAAAAAGGAAAACAAACGATTAATTAAGCTGGAACGTAGAAATAATTATCCTCGTTGCTACATGAAATGATATTTTTCAGAGAATTTATTCGTTTCGGAACTGTCTCGAGGAAGAGATGCAATTATAAAAAGTCCTACGGTGTAGCTTAAAGTTAGGATCGTATTTTAAATACGGAGTATAATTGGTACTTGTTATTACACGCAAAACGTCCAGTTGGATTCCTAAATATTAATCGATCAATATATTGTTCTACGTCCATTGGTAAACCAGGATTTTTTAAATGCATTTTGTAGAGAAGGAATTACTCTCGTGTTTTCTGTAGTCGTTTCTTCGAATAATCTGTAATTGCTATTTGTTTATCGTACGCTAATGCATTATCCAGTAATAAGTGATATTAAAATTGTTTCTTATTAGACGTATACGTATGGTTCCTTTTTTTTTTCTAATTTCATTTTGTACATGTAATCAACTACTATATGATAAAGCGTTGATTTTTTTTTAATTGTTTTTAATTACATTACTCTAGGTTTGCTTCACACTATCATCTATGTTAAGCGTTTTACGTAAACAGTAAGCATTTTGTTCGCTTTGCTCGATCAAAAGCTGTTTGCTCGACTCGATTGACGTGCTGTGTTACAGTAGTATCGTGTTAGATCTCTGTAACCACGATATGTTAAAAGAGTTTTCAAAGAATGTTTTCCATATTAAGTACACATTATACGAAGTTAGTACTTGAAAAGCACAGCATATCTAAGTTGTATATACATCTGTGAACAGAGAGAGTGAGAAAGAATGATCTTGGCAAAACAAATATTCTGAAGTATAACATGATGTAAAATATTTGCTACACTGGCAGTTTCCATGTGATTTACAACAGTTTTTTCTAAAAGCTAGATTTTTAAACGAACTTGATACTTTTATACGTTACATTCGTTCTTATCGAAAAGCCTGTTAATTTTTATAGGATATCCGCTCAATTGTTAACAGAACAGATATTTTATTATAATTTGAACATCGAAAAGCATAATGTGAGTTGAGCACTCAACGAATGATATTAACCGCATCGAATGTATTTTTGTTAAAACATAAATTGCCATACGATGTACTGTGAGTTCAATAAATACATCATACAGTTCTGTATAAATACCAATAGTTCTTATTCGCCACAAAAACAAAAAATCGACGAATAAATATATACAAAAACGATCATCACATATATCTCGGTTTGGAAAACAAAAGAGGAAGGAAAAAGAAAAAGAAAGCTGTATCGTCTCACCTCTGTATCTGACGATTTAAAAAACGGGGTAACACAACCTCGATGGCTAATAGTAACGCACTATTCGCATGACTTGCACAATAAATAAATTCCTAGGCGTAAGTTCTTACAAACGATAATATTGCACGTAAAATGTAAAGGTACTGCACTCTTAGGGATAATTGTTACTCGCTTTGATACTCGTAGAATTATAGTAGGAAGCGATTCTTGGCGTCTTCAGGGTCAAGTTGCTTCCCCCTCCATCATTCCAACTATACTTTCCCCAATTATTCGCGATTCACGTTCTCAGTATCTTTTAATCTCTGTATGCTTGTTCTGTTGAATATTTCATATGAAAATTTCAGTGTAAAAAATGAAATAAGTACTCGGAAGAGTATTTTCAAGCATATTTATATGAAAATCCATCATCTTTAATATAATTGTAGAAAGAACTATCTATATTACATAAAAAAAAAAAGTAACAAGAAAGTATCCCGTTTATTCGATAGAAGTCATATTTCCTTGCTTACAAGCATATTATCCTCAACAGACTCGATACAATTCAACCACGATCAAAGGTTTTCCTCGTGCATCAACTTAAAATGTGGTATCGTGTTTCTTTTTATTGAAACGGTTAACATCGAATATCTTATCTCTATCCTAACTTCAAAAAAAAAAAAAGAAAAAAAATCAGTGTTCCCACTGCTCTAGCCTCTCCTGGTTAAATTGATACAATTTCAGAATATCAAACAAAAGAAAAAAGAAAACGTCAACTTAATGAGAAAGCTAGCTGAATAAATTGGCAATGGGTGTAACAAAATAATAACGACCTTGAAGATGCCAAAATTGCGATTCCCTATAACATAAATAATGCCTCATCGTTACAATTGTTCAAGGGCGAAAGGAAGATAGAACAAGACCGGGATCGACTTTCCATACTTCTCATGTATACTTTCAACACACAACTCGTCCTTCACGCGTCAAATCGTCCCAACGACCCGTGTGTGCGCACGTTTCTGTTAAATCGTACTTTTAGGTTCTTCTGATTTTGAGCATGTGCAAGTTCGGATGCCATGGCACTTTCCTGAAAGTCGACGTTTTCGTCTCGTCGGGTGACGGAACCTCTTTCTCGGCATCGGTTACCGACGTCTCCTCCAGTAATCTTAGTCCAGTGATACCCGTGTCGTAGCTAAACATTCTACGATGTCGTTTCACATTTTGATTACCGGCGTTCCAATTTCTCATACCCGGATCACTGACCACGCGTCGGTGCTTTCTATGATGACGATGATGATGATGATGTCGACGATGCGAATGATTATTATGATGATGATGATGATGATGGTGATGGCGTTGCGTTACTCTTGACGATCGTATCGCGTGCTCCAAGCTCTGTGGATCCATGGCCGGTGTCGCGATGCGGAACAAAAGGTTCGGGTCGAAGTAGAGCCGATTGTCAACGAAAGGAACGAAACTCATCGAATTCGTCAGCCACGAATTTGAACAGAACAACTTGCTCGAAGTTCCCTGGATCGTGGATGACGATCGTTCGTTGTCCTGCCGCGGCGTGTCGATGGTCACCTTTCTGCGGCAATAAGAGCGGTGTGATCTCGGCTGCAGTCTGTTGAAGAAAGAATTTTATTGTTTCGTTTTTCTTTTTTTATTATAGATGAAAAATGATAACTTCAATAGGAGATGGTGATGTGAACGAACGAACGAACCTAGAGGAACATGGGCGTAGCGTTCTGTGTCGTCAGTTGAGCGGATGCTCACCCCTTGGCATTCTATAGCACTTGTTCCACGCCTCCAGCAGTAATACACAACTGTGGAACCGATAGAAGATCAACAAAGGAAGTCCAATCCTGGATAAAACGCCCCAGGCGAGCACCCCGAAGAATCTCAGCTGCAGCTCTTGGGAGAGCCAATTTTGCGTGATCACCGTATCAAAAGCCCACAATACGGAATTACTGAATAGGAGGAAAGTGATCACTTGCCGGGCTGGTTTCGCTATTATTTGGAAACGAGTTATGCAAGATCTCTTCGACGCCTCAGCTATCAGTGTACTCTGAGCGAAACACTGTATCAATTGTAATATCGACGCTGTGAGAAGCATTATGTGTCTTGCACGTGTTTCCTCGTTCTCACCTTCCAGAACGACCAGAGAACAGGCACAAACCACTACTGTGAATATCGAGTACAATTGAACTCCGAACAGGGCCACGTTGGATAGTAAACTGTCTAAAGTGGCTGGTGCTCTGGTCACCACGGACATCTGACGAACTTGAACGAGACCGCTGGCCGTCATTAAGGTACTCAATGTTAAGATGCTGATAAGAGTACCGCAAGTTAGCCACGACAACGTCGTCGATGGGAAGTGTTCGTCTTCTCTGACGACCAGGAATATTAGGATGACCACTATACCAGCGACCATACACAGTATGCCGAGGAATAAACCTTTGCTGGAGCCGTCGCAGCCGACTTTAGTGTGACTCGTCAGGTCCTTGCTGCCGTGGAACTTTTGCTTGTGTGATAAGCGATTCCTACCAACGTTCTGGCCCATTACAAAAGTCACCGCAGCGGCGATCAGGCTTGAAACAAATTGAAAATAATAGGAAATGTTGAAATTTGAATTGTACAATTTATGAGGGGAAAAAGTTCAGATTTTTCGTTAGAATGTTGCAGACTATAGAAAGGGGGTAAATTTATACCTAAATTGCACGATAAATGGATAAAGAAACGGCATGCTCGACGTCCACAGTTGGCCAAGTGTGTTCGTGTTCAGGCACTCTTGCAACGCGATTACTTGAGAGATTTGCTCGTTCGATATAGGCTGGTACGGTTGGAAGACTTCCTTCTCTGTTGGAGAATGATCTGAAGAAAGGAAAGAAAAAACAACGTACAATCTCGGATATTCGATCGAAATAATTTTTAACCGTAGGTTTCAAATTGAACACACTTATCAAATCTCGCGTATGCCTGATCAAAGATTCGGGAAATCCCCGTAGATTCAACGGTGAGGCAGAATTGTGAGGACCTCGTTGCGCCAAATGGACAAAATACGTCCACTCCTGAGCGGAATCCCATATTACCAATCGAACCCAAACAGCAATATTCGTGGCGGTCAGATGAATGAACCCGAATCTCGCTGCTAAACCGAATCTCTCCACTAGAACCTGCAAACGTAACGATATAACACGGTCAATCTTGTCGACTCGGTAATTCGAACTTTCACTCGGAGTGATTTAGCAAGCGAATAGAGACAAAAAAAAATTTGAAAAAATAATGAAAAAAAAGTTAGACCACTTTATAGATCGTTAGATAGCCATAAATAATTGAACGAGTTTCGTACTCCACGGTTCATCGCCGATGATCTTTAGAAATTATAATTTCAGACGAGCCGAGGGATAATAGCACTTTTCGATTTTCGAAAAGAAAGTATAACTACGAGGAATTCAGCACGATCGTTCTTTTTTTTTCTTTTCTTATATATATGTATACATATATATAATTGTACTCAACTAACTTTGCAATTTTCCCATAAAATTTGTAATACTTTCGTGTGGCGGAAACGAATGTGCAATATCTGTTCAAGATTTAATTAAACCACTCCGCCTGGCGTTAGAAGGCAACATTAAACGAGGGACTTCCCCGTTTCACGCTCCTCTTCAAATCACCGTTCAATTAACATATCTTCTCTTTTCAAATGAAACAAAAAAACGAGATGAAGAGAAAAGCGTTGTTGACATAACATAGACGAAACAGAGAAGTTTCCCTTTCGGCGACCTCGAGCCAATTGATTTTAAACAAAGCCCAATTAAGGGAACCACTCACCTGAGAGTTCACGAAGAGAAAGTGCATCTGCAGAAATGTGAACAGCCCGTGAAGCACCGGATGCACGAAGACAACATCGCTCAGGCATTCCGCTCCTTGCATCATGGAGTGCATCGCCATTTCTAAACCGTTGAAAACGAGGGTCGCCAACCCGAAGACTGTTCGAAAACAAAATTCCGTCGTAGTAATCTATTCCTTTTTCACTCTCTCTCTCTCTCTCTCTTTCTCTATCTCTCTTCCGAGAGGTTATCGGAAATTCAGAATAGAATAGAGGAAACTTACGTAAAGCTCCGACACGAATGTAAAAACTCGTCGGCGCTGTTCTAGATCGAGAGATGTGAGCACGCTTCAAGGAACCAAACCTCGTTAAGGACGTGCCGCCGAGTTCCGCGTCGTCGACACCGGTTGCACCGGTACCAAGGCTTCCACAACTGTCCACTAACACCCAAATATAGATACTGATGATCACCGCTATACTTCCCACGTACAGGTACATCAGGAACACACCCTGCAGGTAGAGCGATATTGATGAGGTTTTACAGGGGCAAAAAAGAAGGTAATTATAAACGGCGATCAAGTTAGATACAGGAAGTGATTAAGATATGAATTTTAAGGTCGAGGATGTACAAGGCACTTAATGAGGTTACATTTTGCCCAGAGGGCGTTTTCATAATGATAGTGTCCTACGATCGTTAATATTCTCGAATGAAAAATTCGAAGGGTATCTAATTACTAATTAGTCTATATTTCAGTAGAACGAAGTTCTGCTATATTTGTTCACCTACAATTTTATGACAAAAAAAATTGCTGAATTTGTAGCATCATTTGTAACACCTGTTGAAAAATGGACGTTTTTTTTTTTTAAGTATGAAACCTTGAAGAGATTGAAGAGATCAAATTAAGAGGAGAGATTGAACAGTGGGAATACTACTGGTATATAAATTAACGACGAAGGTAATGCAGAGAATTCGTATTATTCATGAGAAGTTGTATACGTTTGCATACAGATTGCCAGGCATTATGGTCACCTGAGATATCTGTATAATTTCATGTTGCATGGATTACAGAGCTTAATTAATATATGAATTCATAGTGAAAATGAAGTGCAATGAAGTAATCTTGAAAGGAGATCTTACTAATAAGCTTAAATGTTCGGACTTATTAAAACGTATATACCACCTGGTGTCCTTTCGAAAAACTATAGCACTCGCGAATCGCTGATTCGTCGAAAGTTACAATGCTAGGCATCGTTTTTACCGACTAATCACCGAGACTAAATGTACAAACAAAAAGTCTGCAGAGAACTATTTTTAAACCGAGGAAAAAAAAGAAATCACGCCAACGAAACAACTCAATCAGAGATAACTCTTCTCGATCCTCTGTAAACCGCAAACAACCATAAACTCCATGAAAGTACACGATACGACCAGTTTGTCGTGAACTGTAATGGAGTTTATACCATAAAGCGACTTGGAAATCGTGCCTTCTTCACTCCTCCAAGTTACGTTTTACCGTAATAGTACGGCGTCTTGATTCAAACCGATCCATAATTTGCCGCAAAACGCCAGCGAAATGTAATTACGAATACCGCTCGAAATGGATTGAAATTACTGGAATACCGGCTGCTGTTCGCCCTTAAGCCATCATTTTCGATAGATTCATGAATTGATAGACAATTCCTCTGTGATTTGCGATAATTCATTTTGGCCAGGCTCTAGTGTAGTTATCGTTCAAAGTAACATACCGGGTGATCCACGTAAAACTGACCACTTAATTATCTTCTCTAGTTACGGTGATACGAGAACATTTTATACGTGATTTAAATTTTATAAATTTTTTTATAAATGTCATTTGATCTGTTTTTCTTTTTTTTTTTTGTTATTTTCAAGTTCGTCTATGTTTTTTTGCACGAATGTATAGTATATTTCTTCGAACTTCTAGTGAAACTTCCTTTCATTTCTTTCTTTTTTAAATTATTCTTCCATCTTATTCATACTTTGAAATAATTTAAATTACGAGTAAAAATTTTTTTGGAACATCCTGTATATCGAGGAGAGGCTTGAAAATATGAAATTGAGAGAATAGATATAATAAAAAAAAAAAGAAGATAATTATAAAGATTGCGAGGGTTTCGAAATTTTGCCACTCTTTTATGCAAAATATGAAACAAGTCGTACTACATTTTATGTCGAGTAATTCCGCTATTTTCTGTATTACCAGCTGAGCAAAGGATTAAGAATGAAAAACTATCCGATAAATACTTAATCCATATACTGCCGTATCACTGGCACTAAATACGTGAACGTCGTAAGAAAAAAAAGTACGTACGTTCGTGTTCGAAGTGTATTAAAAAACGTTTACGTTATAGGATTACCAGTTGAAGGTGATTATTGTAGCGTAGTCGTACCGTTATCCTATCGGAACATCCTGGAAACTTCTTAGATGAGACGAAGATCATAAAGTCGACGACAGAGGGAAAAAAATTCGTCGAATGAACGAACGTACTGCGTGAAAGTTAAAGAGCACCGGTAAAAGCCGCGCGCGCGGATGCTATACGATCGAACAGCAGCGTTGCGATGATTAACCGAACCTGATGCCTGTTCCAACGATTGCCGGGTGAATTATCGTGCAACGTTCGTTTCGAATTGTCATTTTACGATACATCCTCTCTCTGCACTATAACATTCGCCGCTTTATGACTCTCGGACACCTGTTGCATTTCTTTTTGTCGAGGCTAAAGCACGTAACAAACTTTCTAGCTTTTTATATTTAATAAAACGAAACGAATGGTTTAGCGTTTTTAATGTGTTCACGTTAATAAATGTAAACGCCCGTATAAATCGATTAAGTATGAAATCTCGATGATACATTGTTATAGAAAGGAGATTTTTACAATTTATAAATCGATGGTAAAGCATAAATTATAGCACACTGAATTCTGCGGAGAAATTTACTTGATTCAGTTTTGATTTCACTACTAAATCGATGTAAATTAATGTCAACGAAAGATTTGCATAGAGAGTGGGTCTTCGTTTATTATGGACGCCCATTTATTAACCCGCTGTCGTAATTGTCACATAAAATCGATATCAATTCTCACTTCAGAAATATGTAAGTAAAAGTCGGAGAAAAATATTTTTGGGATCGAGCGGGAATCGAACCCAAGGGACTTCCGACTGGCAAGCCGGAACTTTACGCCCATAGCCAAAGCATCCGTTGAATTTTCTTGCTGTTACATACTCCTTTTAAGGTGAATGGGAGATCAGAATATTCCCAATTTCACATATTAACGTTTGGAAAGTTGAATGAAAATGACATAGCAACTGTGAAATTTTTAATAAGTAAGATTCATACTTATTTATACTGTTTTATCGATAAAATGGAAATGATTCACGACTTACTTGTAAGCTGAGCAAAGGCACAGGCGTGTCCATAACTTCGGCCAAGCACAGAGCGATCATTAGCACCACGACGAGCTGGCCGTACACGTTTGATAGAACGATCCATAATTGTGAACTATAACAATCACCATACAAAAAACACCACATCTACTATACAATCTTCAACCTTTTCTAAGTTTCACCGCGAACGTCGACTCTATCCGTCGTAAATCTATCTCATATACGCAGTACTAATAACACCTCTGACTAAATCACTATTTTCACCTGACTCGTGCAATGCGAGAAAAATGTAAAAATCGTCGAAATTACAGTGTTACGCCCAGTGAAACTAGGGACTACATTCAATTATTCCACTCTATAACCATTCGTAAACTACGCATGATGTATGTCGATTTAATTAAGTTCTACGAGTGATCGTGATGGTCTCTTACAAGGGTTCAGAATGATCCAAGAGATCGTTCGAAGATCGTGTCTTAGAAAGGATCCTTGAGACCAGAGACCTGGACGGAATGGATCTTGTTGTTGCTTCTGTGGACGCCGCTTCGGTCTCGGTGTTCCTTTCACCCCTGTTAGGGGCTCCACCAGGTGCACCCTCCACGGTGCCACCAGTTATGCTTCCGGTCTCGTTCAGGCTGTCCTTGTCGTGCTGTTCATTGCTGGCTATAATGATTAATGATAAAAAATGAACGATTGAAAGGATACGCAAGAGACGAATTATTAGAAAATACGTAAGAGTCAAAGAAAAAATTTCAATGGACCCAGGTGGGAATCGAACCTACGACCTTCGGATTGGCAAACTGGGACTTTGTGCCCATAGCCACGACGCCTTCTATGTTGCATTCGTGTTATTATTCTTTTCAATAGGTATAAAGACTTCGATCCCACAAATAATTTTTTAAGTTAAACATAAAAATAAATTGCACCCTATTTGCTAGTTTATTTGTGTTATTCGTCATTCAGTCTCCACAAAGTAATGTGTTTACATGAGAAAATAGGCATGAGAGAAACTGGAAGGAATATGGATAGAGAATAGGCTCAAGGAGCATGAAAGATGCATCACATTAGGCTACATACAATTGTATCAGATTATTACACAGAATCAAAAAATCAGACTGAATCATACATGGCCTTTCACTTTTCTTTCAATTGTTCAACTCACCAATTAAAGAGAGTTATGATTGGTAATTAATTTTTATGTAAAATATAGTTGTAGATATACACATGAAAGTCTAAATGAAACTAACTGAAATGGTAGTAAAAAATTTTCCAAAATATGCATGGCTTGTATTTAAGAAAAAGAAAAAGGAAACAATATTTTCACCCATAAATTCTTTGAGATATGACGCTTTAAAATGTTTTATGCTTCATACAGTGTACCGTGAAGCCATTACCGAAATATATTTTTTCTTACAATAAAAGCTAATTCTTCATTTAATTGCCCAAACTCCAATTTCAGAGGACCCGCTAATTGTACCCACTCTCTTTGGTGTTTTGGGTCAGTGGAGTAGCGATTCGAGTGACTTTCGCTAGAAGAATTCGTACGTCCGCTTACGTGTTTGGTAATTTCGGTTGAAATGATTTAGAGGTGCCTTCATTCGCTGTGAAACGAATTAGAAAGGTCGACTGAGATGATATATAATCGATAAAGAAGATAAGTCTAAAACAACACATCTAACCTAACCTAAAAACACGATTAACGTAGACCAGATGTATAATGAAATTCATAATAAGAATTAAAATTGGAAATCAAACGACTAATTTACGATTAAAGAACGCAAGCAACTATGAAACATCGATAAAAGCGGTTGAATCTCGGCGAAGCGGTCTTCGAAAGTCTCATCATTAATTCGCTAATTGACCACGTATAATGCAAACGATCCGTTTTTTTTTTGTTTTGTTTACTTCTTGTTTTATGAATGACTACCGTATAGGAACAGTCTCGTGATGAATTAAGTTACTGGTAATTACCACGCTCGTGCTACCGTATAATTAATGCCAGGAAAAATTGAACCCGTCCCTCTTTTAGCTTCTTCGTTGAACCATCTTTTATTCAATTAAATCTTTCACCACTGCGAACCCGTGTGTATAGGCTTTGACAAGTGAATCTCACGCATTATCCATCAAAAATTTGGATTTATAGTGCATTGTTAAAAACGCAGTTATTTAGAATTTGTTTGGATATAGAAATTATGTAGTTATTTGGATTATTTGGAATTCTTTTGGTCAAAGTTTTAATCCTTACTATAAAGACAAACAATTTGATTAAAAAAATGCGTCATTTCTGAGAATCAATTTAAGAAAAAAAAATGCATAGGTTAGGTTTGGATTTAAGACTTGAAAGGGTTAAATTCGTCGGGATAAATAGTTCGAAAATATCCTTCGTAAGATTAATCGTCAACTTTTCACCCCGTCTCGATATTTACCAGTCGATCTCTCGAAAGCGAGAAATCGTTGCTTCGTTACGGAACTGTAGAGTGTTAATCTTGGCTCCATTCACGTTGCTTCTAGCGTCTTCGAAGCAATAGCTAAGGAGAGATCGTCATCTACTTGTTGCTCGTCTACGAAATCGATAAAATGAAAAACGACTGTTGGTGGCTGCCAAGGATCATTCGTAATGATCCGTAACGAATGAACGAGCAGGACTATCGACCGGTGACCGGTTTTAGATCATTCAATGGGCTCCTTCTTGAGTTGAAGATATTCCGTTATCTGGTAAGTATGGTTTCTTTCTGTTCATCGTAGTTTTCATAGTAAAATCAATAGTGTTATTGATAAGTTACGACAGAGATAAATTCGCGGTTATGCAATGGCCAGTGTATGCGAGCGTTGAGGTTAGGGGTCGACGATTATTTCACGAGGATCCCCGGTATTAATGAAGGTGAGGGGTATTGTGCATGCACATGCTTGATGGAAATGACATGATGATGAAGAGGTCGTAAAAACTGTACAAAACGGAAGGAAGTAAGACGGCTGTAAAGGTCAAAGATGACGATAACGTGAAGCATTGTACGTACAGTCTCGTCCACAAGTCATTGAACACTTATTAATTTCAAGTAAAATTCTTGCGAAATTTATATACGGTTAACAATAAAATATATTAATTTTATGAATATTATAATAAAATTGTTCCTTATTTTAAATTTATAGATATTCGATGTTTTATGAACGAGAGTGTACTTGGAAGAAGAGAAGATCGCTTTTCGATTAGAATCGAAAATTACGTTTACCCTCATCATAGGCAGCTGTGTTTGATACGGTTGAATTATGGGAAAATGATACACTTGGTGTACCTGAGTTATAGCCGAGTGATACAGTCGAGGAAGCTTGTAAGCGTATCCGCGTAAAATATGCTAAGATATTACAAAAAGCGTATATCGTTTGATCAACGTGCGTACGCTCGCACAAATTAGCAAATGGAAAGAACACGTGGAATAAGTTATTTGTTGTACAGGGTGTTTCAAAATATGTAAACCTACATTAAATAGAGGTAAACCGAATTAGCTCATGGAAATAACGAGAAAAAAAACTCATGTGAGCTTTATTTCATTTGTTTGAAAAACTTTTTACTAAAATTTATATTTCTCCAATATTGTGTAAAAACTTGTCCTATAACTCTAGAAACGGTACACTAGCGTCACGAGTTACGACCACAAATTTTAGTACGCCCTGTACAAATTCAAACATTTTCTTAAGCTAAGCACAAACGTTCAGGTGTATCATGTAACAAAACTAAATGATAAATTGAACAGTAAACCTAGGAAAATAGAATTTGTAATGTATCCATACGTAATACAGTTAGATGTGCGTTTTATTCATTGTTTCTCAACACTTCACGCCGATAACATTTAAATCGAAACACAAAATTGTAGGTAATTCAAGCAGCGAGTAAATGAAGATTAAGCCTTATTTTAAATAATTAAATACATTTCACATCAACGAAATAATTTCGATAAAT